ACGTAATAGTGTATGAGTTTTGTGATTTGTTTTACCTTCGAAAGATTGAAAATAAGTTAGACATCGTTTCTATCATCGTACTCCGGTCGGGAATAGAAATATACCGCTATACTTTACATGATCTTTAAGTATTCATAAATATTTAATGCATTATTGTATGTTCGCATCCGTCATAGAAATATAGTCGAGTCACATGTTAAAATAGGCGAAATGTTATTCGAGAGAGATTGTGAAATAACGTAGAAATATTGATCTTCGTAATTGAATCGTGTTGTCAAATTATAAAGTTGGGGTTAAAAAGGATTGATACAAGAAGGTTCGGGATCCTAGTGCATTTTTTATCAATAGATTTTCATCAAATTCGCATAAATCACAATCTTGCATTGATTTTAGTAATTTAGTTCTTGCATTAACATTTAGATAATTGAATCACAACTAAGTTATAGAAAAAAATCACAGATTTTCATAGTTTTGGTTAAAGCTTAGTTTCATTGAACTTGAACCAATACAATTTTCGTGAGGACGATACTTAGGACTCAAAATTAATTTTACTATTTGTTAACGAATCGTGCACTTGTGGTATTACAAACGAAAGAAAATTTCGTAACATCCTACACGACATTAGAATTAACAATCACAAATTTAAGAATATATCCATTCAAAAATATCTCCACAAATATTTTCAATATCACAAAATTATATTCTTGTCACGTGACATATCTTTAACTACCTTAATTTTGTTCGCAATTTTGGAAGAAAGTTGTTGGTCACTCTTGAGTAATATAAACTTGGTACTTGTTTGATAAAACTTTGCAAAAAGTTTATCAACTTTTCAATTGGTCAAACTTCAATTTTAACCAAAATATTTTAAGAGATTTACAATTTTTAAAAAATTTTCAACCACATATTTTATCAATATTTTATCAAAATCTGCTAAAATTTTTAAAGAATAGATCCTTACAAAATTCTAGGTCGAGTTCTAATCATAATTGCACCTCACATACCTTACACTTGACATTTTATTGAAAAATTTAACGAAAAATGTCCATCGAGACTTACATTGTAAGTGTAACTAAGGCTAGCCAAAAGAATTGGAACCAATTGAACCAGTATTGTAGATTCTTCTCTAATTAAATTTTAAATGATTTTGATTCAAGTTTGAGAATCGAGAATTGGCTCAGACCCATTTTTTAAATATCAAGGTTGGTGAACATAGAAAGATTAACCCATTTTTTTACACCACAATAAACTAAGTAGTTACAAAATGTCAAAACACAAGGTCCTTTACTCTTCTTCAAACTTCAAAGCCCTAACTTGATCTTCCAGAGTTTGTTGTTTTACATTAAATGAGTCTTGTTGTTTTGATTTTGTATATGTGAAAATTTGCACTGAAAATTTGAAAATTTTTGTTATAGCACCAAACCTGATCCAGTCGATGCAGTGTTGGTT